TAAGAAATTTGTTAAAAATAAAAATATCCAATGAAGAAGGAGCATTAGAAATAATTAAAAATTAAGTTTTGCCAGTTTTGTTGGGTGGGGGTGAAAAAGGATGCAAACATTAACCCATAACAAATACGGATGGAGTGATCCACAAAAAAACCTGGATATTACCTCAGAAATCCTGATTCTTCTCTGTAACTCCTTGTTGCATCCACCAAATCTTTCCAGCTCATTTATGCACACCTCATAAGGGGCACCTTTGCATATTTACACCTTCCCTCCCTAGAGACACAACCATACAATCCTAGAAATTATTCCAGTTACAAGAGAAATGCTGCAGCCCACAGAACTGTTGATCATGTTAAGACATGCTGAGGAGCGAGCTCACATTACAGCAAACCTGCAGAAAATGCTGGGAAATGGCCCCTCAGTGCAGCATCCTCCCATATGGAGGGGAGGTCACCCTTGTTCCTTTTCCAAGGATTTTTCCATCCCTTGTCATGTCAGAAGAAAGAGCACAGCATGAAAATCAAACAGGATCCAAGTACAACTCTCAGCACAGGAAAACGGATGGATGCCATGCATAAACATTGCTGCAGTCAATTTAACAGTCAAGGCAGAATGTGAATTATCCTGGACCTGATTCAAGCAGGATATAGAGGTCAACTCAATGGAAATGCTTGCATCCTGAAAATCTCTGGTAGAGAATGGAATAATGGTGAGACTCATAGCCTACCCTGCACAACACAGCAGACTGAAACAGAGAACATGCTTGGAGGAAATATCTACAGTCATTGTCATGTACATAGAGGTTAAAAAAAAATCAAATAATATCCAAGATTACAAGCATCCAAACACTGGGATCAGATCCTTTAGACCTTCTGCCTCTCCCCTCTGACCAGCTACTTGCCAGGGTAAAAATTCAATGTAATGAGATCAGCTTTCCTATTTTAGTCTCAAAAGTGCAGATGGAACGTATGCCTGTAGATAGTAATGTTATCTGTATTACTGCAGTGTCTGAAGACCCCAATCAGACATAGGCCATTGAACACTCAGGTAAAAACTCTTAGAGAAAATTCCTGCCAAAAAAGTTCACCATGTGCACTAAGGGAAAAAATGCAACCCGTGAATTTAATTAAGCCAGTGGAGATAACCACGGAGAGGAAGCATGTAAAAGAATTGTAGATGAACACACAGGTACTGTTAACTTTGACAGCATCCTGCAGAACAGTTACAAGCCTGTGCTGAAGGGTTTTATTTGTTTGAAACCTGTAAGTTATGCTTTGCAAAACAGTTCTTTCAATCTTTAAATTAGATTTAAAAAATATTAAAGAGGCTATGAATTTCAGTTGGCCACCTGCTTACTTTGAGAGGACCCTCAATCAGCCGTGGTAATAAGAACATTGCCTCACATTATGCAAATAATATTTAGACCACAGAGTTTCACTGAAGGTTTATGATCCCTGTTGATAGAAGGTCACATCCAGCCCCCAGGCACACGAAACCTCTGTTGTTCACTGCACAGCAAATACACAGCACACAAACCAGAAGGAAGTGTCTTCCTCAATTTCATGCTTAGTCCTCACCGTACAGGCCCATCACACACGGATTTTGTTTATTAAGCTCTACCCCATTAAGCCTAAACAGTTAAAATTGTACTTGGATGACAACATAATCCATACCCATCACCTTCTTCAAAACTTCCATTCAAAAAGAAGGGTTTGGGAACAGGGTAAAACATAATCTTCTGCAAACTGCAGCGTGTGCAAACTCAGTTACCTGTCCTATTTGCTATAAAATATCATGGTCCAGTCTTCACTGGGGGATATCATGGTTTTACAGAGTGTTGTCATTCATGCTGTGTTTATCATAAAATGACACATACTTTAAAGTATTATTTTTCAATTATGCAGGAAGTAGAGCAGGAAGTAATTTATTGAGTGAAATTTGTCCTCATTTTCAAGAGTCACTGGCTGATAGTGGAACTTAGGGACTTCAATATCATTAGGGACAAGAGTGACACATAACTAGTAATTACTGCTAATCTAGTGGCTGGCAAGGTGACATGCAGCTGCCATAGTAACAAGCATAAGATCAACTGTTAGCTTCCAAAAATGCCTACATTTCACTCAGCTATTTGCCATGATTTTTAAAACCATGACAGAGAAAATAAAAACACATCACACACTTTAGAACTTGCATCTTTCCCTGCTTTTCTTTAACAGAGGAAAGAATGCCTCAGAATAATAATTTCACTGGTTTTACTGAGAATTCCCCACTATTGGCCAGAAGACAAAGTTTCTGGAGCCACAACCAGTAACAACCCCATCACTCTTACCTAGGAAGAGTGAACAGCAAACACCAGAGAGACAGCAGGCACCCTTAGGGAAAATCTCCTTCCAAAGCACTTTTGCTGTCTCTGGCTGCACACAGAGATTATTTCATGCAGCAGTCACAGTACAAGGAGATGTTCATATCTGAAGGTGATAACACCTCTTCTAATACACTCTTAACCACTCTAACTCCAGTTAATTATTAACCGCCACCGCTGATCTTTGCACTTTACAGACACCTCTATCCAATCGCATTTATATTAAACTCTCACCCATATGGAACTCCAACATTCAACAAGTCTCAACAGCTTTGTAAGGGGGTTAAAAATCTAGGAAGAGAGCACGGTAAGCCGCATGGCAGAGTCAGAGAGACACTCAGGGTGAAGTGGAAAGGACACACAGTTGTTCTGGCTTCCCATCCACTGTGCCACAACTTACTTCAAATCTATACCTACAGATTTCTGGGGCTTTTCCTGTTTCCACACAAGCTCAAGGCAAACCCTAGGGAAAGGAGAAGGGTGTAGCTAACAGGTTTGTATTTTCAGGAAGGAATGAGCTTAGTGTCATCTCAATATACATATTAGTTTGAAATTCCCTGTTAGGGGAAAAGCTGTAGACATTACATTAAAAACTTATATACAAGTATCTTGAGCTAGACGTTTAAATTACTCCTGTGGGATGTCTGTCTGAGAAAATCTAGCTTGCCTTATGGCAATGCTAATCTTCTCATATCTGTTTCACTTTTTATCCTTGCACCTGCCTGAATTAACAAGATTAAGAATTAAGCTGGAAGAGGGCTGTCTGTCAAGGAATGCCAATTAATCTATTGATTTAACCATCAGAATAGCAACCAAATGGAGTTCCTGGCCCAGACAAACTGCATTGTAATTCAAACTCTAAGGTGCTTGTGGCAGGCTATGTCACCAGACTGCAGAGGAAACAATTAGAAGGGTGAGAGAGACACTGGAGTTTTCTTTTAAAGGGATTCTTACTTAACTCTTATGGCCAAAAGGAAGATTTTGCATGTGATCTTGCCACAGAAATGTGATCTTGCCACAGAATTAAAAAAAAAAACAAAAAAAAAACCCACAACCAAAAAAAAATCTGTTTTCCAGATCACTAGCAGGTCCAACCTAAGTCATTTAGGGCGTGTTTAAACAGGGGTGTACATGCTTACGTTTGTGAAACTAGGCTCCATTCACAGAGCTCACATCTTCTCAAATCACAACTCTCAGTTGCATTACTGCTGTCTGACTAAAGGAGTTTGTTAGCATCAAGCTCCAAACAGAACCTGCTAGTTCAGGGAAGTTTCTGCACTCACAGCAGACTTTGCCATATTTATTAACATAAGCTACCACAACCTACAAGACAGACGACTCAGAAGACATCCATGTGCCACAGACCCACTAGCTGAGAATGAATGAATGAACGAATGAATGAACGAATGAATGAGGAAAAGAGTGCAGCAAAGTAACGAGTTTTTTTCAAAGCTGAATGCCCAAAAGTAGTGCTAAGGATTGGATTAATGGAGACACCCAAATGTGCGTTATCCAGAAGGTGTTTTAAAGTTTTGCAATTTATCCACTTCGTTACTTTGCTGAAAGCAACTGCTACCACAGGCCATCCCAAAGTTTGAGATAATCAACTCTATGCTAGAAGATCAGACTGTAAATAACAAAGAATTCTCAGATCACTTTTACTTGCCAAAAGAAACAAAGCGCAGATATACTCTAAGTATGCACAGGAAGCAGCAAGGGCAGGTAACGAAGGGATCTGAAGCAGGGCGGATAACAAATGGGTCTGAAAGCGAGCTCAGGAGAGCGGCTCCCCCCAAGTGACAGCGCTGCAAGGAAACAAACGCTGCCTGTTCTCGCTGACCGCACTTCCGCCTCCTCCCCTGCTATCGACTCCAGCACCGCCGGGGCTCCCTGCAGCCACACGGCGTGAGGGCTCCAGCACCGCCGGGGCTCCCTGCAGCCGCACGGCGTGAGGGCTCCAGCACCGCCGGGGCTCCCTCCGGCCGCACGGCGTGAGGGCTCCGAGCACCGCCACCCCGCTGGGGAACAGGCTGCAGAAAACACGTGAGCACACGGTAAGTTTGTGCTTGTGTCTGCTGGCGCCAAGGGGGAAAACCCGCTGTCAAATAGGTTGCTTAATTAGAAAATGCGGTTAAATGCTAAGTGTAATTGTGTGGGGCATGTGGATCTGGAGCAGATGCAGCAGGGGAGTGTGTGCTTAAGGAGCATCTGGGACAGCTGTGGACATCTGCAGCCGTTGCTTTAAGAGCGGTAAATGCTGCATGGTTAGAAAAAGAAAAGAAGTTGCCCGTTTTGTCCTTTGCACTGGAAGTCTGTTGCCCAAATGCTATTGCTCCTGAAGGAATTCAGCGGAGACAAAGTCAGCTGAGACAATCCAGAGCCGCTCTCCCCCCTCCCGTTATTCGTACACACTTCTCTTCCCGCTAGCTCACAGTTCTGACAATGCAGGGAAAAAGAGAAAGAATGGCAGAGGGAAGCAGAGCACAGCTGTGCGTTGCAGAATCTCTCCATATTCATTTGCCAAACAAAGCCAGTACTCAAAAAGACAACGAAGATGCAATAGGACCATACCAAATCCATGCCTCCGAGCAGCGAGGGGCTTTCTAACAATGCATTCAAGCAACAGACAGAGATTTACCTTCAGAATGCAGGCCATGTTCTTTCTCTATCCTTCCTACCAAAGAGCAGCAGGATTCTACTTTATGAGCAGCAGTTCCAGTGTCGGGCAAGAGGCTGGTGGAGCTGCAGAACTGCTGGAGCCTACATTCCCGTAGATCCGAACGGAGGTACCACGCATCCAGGCTCCGTTAGTCATATTAGTCTTTTTCTGCCCGGTTCGTTCCACCCATCAGCTCCTGCCACTGGCTGGGAGCCAGCCCAGCGCCTCCCCTCCGTCACATGACCGCCTTTGATTCATGGCTCCAGCGTGTTTTCCTGAGCTCCTGCCCCTGCCATCCCTGCCCACGGCAGCCTGCACCTCGCAGGGGCTCTGCAATGCCTGCACAGCGAGCTGCGTGCTCATCCTTAACCCCCTGCAGCCCGCTCAGTGCTCGCAGCACACGGCTGCTGGCAGCTGGGCAGAAAAGTCCAAACTCTCTCTGTTATTGGGGCTGGAAAAATCCTTAAGCTGCTTGTTAGAGCGCGGTGTTGTTTTGTGTTCAGCCCTTTGCACTGTACTTTGTCTAAATTGCTGCCCTATGAGAAATAATCATTATCAGCTCAAATATCCCACCAGAGGTGTTTGCGTTGTGTGGTGCACGCCTTTTTGCGTTAAGAGCTGGCATCCATCACAGAGAATGGAAATCTAGGCTTGGTTTGTGAAGTTTTTTGCTTGTGCAGCTTTCTTTGGACTTTCTTAAGATAAGAAAGTGGGGTAAAGTGCAGATGAATAAATTAAGCTGTTGAAGAAATCCTTCGCTTTACATAATCTCATCAAATTCAAATTTTTCCCTTATATAACATACTCTATATATCATAGAGGTTTTACTTCGTATTTGTCACTTCTCCTGCAGTTTCTTTCTCCCCTTCTTACACTTTCTCAGTACTTCTCATTACTTCATCTTGGAACCCTCTGTGTTTTCTGTACTTGGCACCTTCCCTGTATTCCTTTTGTGCCACATTGCTTCACTCCTGCTGCTTTAGTACCAAAAGCTCTCCAGCTCTCTTAATAAATTCTTTGTAATGTGTGTCTTCATCCCCTCTGCAGCAAGTCAGGGTACCTGTTTACATGCAGGCAGTAGCCTCCAGTTCAAGTTATGGAACCATGTACCACGGAGCCCCTCAGTGGGTGGGAGCCAGAAGGGGTTAGTGCTGTGCTGCTCATTTAGCAACCAATACTGTTCCCTGCCTGGCAAGCCTCTGGGATCCAGGTGCAATCCCTCAAGACAGTAAGTAGGTTGAAACTAAAGGAACTTGATGTCCTCATCTGTATGCAGGAGCAAATCCTCCCCAAGAGCAAACGGCCTGGGGGGATTTCTCCTGCTCACACTCCTTGGCTGCCTTCCTGAGCATTTCCAGAGAAGATGCCAATGTGTGTTTGGCCTTTGTAGCAGCATCCAAAGTGCTGTACTCTTACACAGGTCCTGCAAACTCCTCAGCACCTCTCACCACTGGAGATCCACTTCCTTGCTCAGTTACAGACACAAGCCGAAGCTTTTGAGCTGAAAATTGTAGTATTGCTGGGACGACTAATGAAAAATAATTTAGTGAAGTTTATAACTGTGTTGATTAACATTAGCAAATATCTAAATGACAAGTCAGTGGAAGAAGGTGTTAAAGGAAGGACTTACAGCCTTTTTTTAATTAGAGGCTACCACCAGCCAGTGTTAGATCATTCTGGATAGCATTTTATGTGTCTTTAAGTGATAGTTATTCATAAGGAGTTTTGTAACAAAGTTCTGTTTCTTAGTGAATAAGGTAAACAAATAATTCATTCTTTCCTGAATAAAAAATAATTGGCTGTTTTTCTCTCTAGCAGTCAAGAATCTGGTTTTTCTAGGAGTGAAACTGTTCCTTTCACCTGTGTGATGGGCATGAAAGAAGTCTTCATCTGAGTTTTTCATATTCCACCCCCTTCCCACCCTCCACCGTACCAGCTCTGTAGAATAAAAGGAATGAGACTGGAGAGAAACCATCCTGGAAAGGTCAACCATTTCAATATGTCCAAAGCATTGAGGGATTTCCAGTGAATTATATTACTTAAGAAAAGGCAGAGGCATGGGTAGTTGTCTTGTTTTAAGCATCCCTGACATGCTTTTATTCTAAACATCACATCAGCCAAAATGTAGTGAACTTTAACTTTTAGACTTCTTGTAAATTAATATTTATCTTAAAAATACTTCATCATTACTAGACATCAGCATCATCTATCCTTCCCACTTTCTTTCAGGAGGGATGTGAGATTTCACTTTATTTTTCCCTTGGGACAAAACTGAAGGTGTGACTTGAGCTGAGATCACCACAAAGAGCAACAGGAAGTCCAGCCTTAGGCTGAGCTAATTTCACCTCAGAGAAACTACACAAGGAAAGGCATCCACCAAATTATAAAAGCAAGGAGCCATTGTAAGGACATCATTCCATGAGTCTCATGAAGTGCTTTACCTGAATTTACAGTACTCTTGAAATCAGCTTTAGGCCAAACATAGCTCACATAAATTGCAATTTTCCATCCGAAATTAACACGGTTGTTGTTGCCTAGTAGGAATGTCAAAGGCAGTATGAATCTGCCTTTCAAGTCTGAGTCATTGTGACAGGCCACACAGTCACTGCTTCTAGTTCTGAGGACAAAGACCTTTAGTTCTGAGGAGAAAGACCTTGCGTGTTTTCCATCTAGTCCAAACCCTTCCGATGACATTCCTACGAAGACGTAACCTTGGGGAAAATATGGCTGTGTGGGCAGCAGCCCTTTTCAATTCTAATTCTTAAAAACTATTTCTGTCATAAGAAATCAATCCTTTGTGGAGACGGCTGATCAAGCCTCAATTTGCAGAGATTAATACAGCTGTGAAATCCCAGCATTCAGGCAGGAGTGTGTAGTGCCAGTGTGGGTAGTCCTGCTGGGCAGGCTGTGCCATGAACAGTTGGCTTGCTTGGTGGCTGGGCACTGTGGCACTGATAAAGCTGCACTTCCACCTATGGAAAGAACTTCAAAGCCAAAACCTCACAGACTTAAACAGTAAGTTAATTTTGTAGTCCCACATCTGTGTTTTAGAAGTGCAGGTTTACACAAAGCCTGAAAGCTATCATCTCACTGATCAATGAAATCAGACACTGGTTCATGTAGTGAAAACGTGCCAAAAAGGAAGAACCTGTTCTTACACTTGTTGCCACTACAAAGTTTTATCAGACAAGGATGACACAAGGTGACATTTTTCTCCCTTCTGGTGCAACCTGAGTCAGTGGCAGAGTAACAGATCCAGTCTGCTGTTATCCAGAGATCTCATCTTCCCAACCTTCTGTATCAAGTTCCTACCTCATGTAACTCAACACTATAAGTAAGAAATTTAAGGTACCCAGCAGCCCAATGTCATGGCTGAGGTAGAGGATGAGATGATTAAAAAACCAGCAGGTTATGATTATGAACAGGAAATCTTACCAGGTTATCCAAACGCTACATGGAATTTTTAATTTAAAACTCTTAATGATGTTGATTTTCCAGGTAAGAAAAAAGGCTTAATCCAGCCTGAGTACTTCATTTTAGAGGTGAACCTGTGCTACATTGTGGAGTGCAGAAGCTAAGGAGAGCAGGTGGGGTTTGTTACAACCTAAATTCTACTGTTACTTTTCAGAATATCCTTACAGCTTGAAGCAAGATTGCCATGTGCACATTACTGAAAGAGCCAGTATATATTGCCCTGCCCAGCTTCCTTCTCAGAATGATTCATCTGAACCTGATTCAGCTGCAGGACAACCCAGATCCATTAAAAAAAAATAAAATAAATTTTTTAAAAAATGGTTTAGTCATGGAATACTTCTGCATGTCTCAGTGGCAGGAGACAAGGATTGCTCAGCACCATTCCTGCTATTTGAAATTCCTCTCATCACCTCACTATTACTCAGTGTCATGGTAACAATTTAGCACAGCCACACAGCCCTTGCAGACCTTGCATGTCCTGCTGTTCCCCCCAGCCCCATTGTAATACACACAAACACTCAAATCAAGGCCTCACAACTTTCTTTCAACTAAACATTATTTTCAATAAATAAATAAATAAACAAATAAAACCAAGTTTTGTCCACACCTAACACTGCGTGAATATTCAGAGATTAAAACACAAAGGTCTGTAGAAGTTCCTGAAAGCAGAAAAAAGCAAACCCCACCAAATAAGTAATCTTTTCAGACTGCTGACATTTTATTTTCAGTGCATGCTCATCTGAGAGCTTCAGGTGTCTGTTTTCAAAGATGGTTATTAACCAGTGATCATTTTATACTAAACTACAAATTGTTGGGCTTTTTAAATATAAATGAAAATGTGTATGTCATCTGTAATTTTTAATTTATTTTTTCTATTAAATGTGTTTAACAAAAACAGTGGATTTTTTTAAATGCAGGGGAAAAAAACCTCAAAACAAAAACCAAAACCCCCACATGCTTAGAGCAGAACAGTGTCTGTCCCAGACAGCTTTCCTCTAATTAATAAACAGACTAAGCAACTCTGAAGAGTGCTGTGTCTGCTTATGCCACCAGATGTTTTGCCTGTATAAAAATAGTACTATAAACAAATGTAAAACTTGCTGCAGTCTCCATGAGAAGAAAACCTACCAGTAATGTTCTGAAGGGCATTCAAAAGCTAAATGATGTGTTTGAAAATGCACTGTCATTTGCAGGTAGCTGCTGAGTAGAGGATACGGGTGGTCAGTAGGTAATGCTTGTACGTTCTTCAGTCAAGGATGCATTTGGTTTCTCCACTATAAAGTTTTTACATTCTTTGCTCTGTTATCAATGCTTTACACTCCCACTAGTTTTATGAGATGTAATGAACATCACAAAAATACTGATACTGTTTCACTGTCTATGGCCATGTCAGTTTATCCTCTAATGAGATTTTATCCTGGAGAATACAGCTGTGCACATAAAAGCAGCTTAGGAAAAGGAACCGGAAACAACTTCAATCATGGTATCAAAAGCCTTAAATTGGAACAAAATTTAAAAGCAGACTTTCAGCTTAGGGGAATACCTTGTCCTGAACTGAAGAAGCAGAGACATACCCTGCCTCCTTCCTCCAAAGATCCAGCTTGTTTTTGTGGGCTAAGCTCTGTCATTATCCAAACAGTTTGTATTTAAAAAAAAACCCAAAACAAAAACAACCAAACCTCTCTCTCTCCCATCCAAAGGGTTTATCTAATGTTTCTTTGCACTTGAAAGGAAAACTTTAAAAGTGCAGCAGAAAAGACATATATTTAATTCAGGAGTCACTTAATTCTGGTGCAGGGCAGGGGAGGGAAGGGTGGATTTTTACACCACTCATAAGTAATATCTAGAGGGTCTCAACCCCAGCAGTGTCAGATTTAAGCCACCTTGTTCAGCAAGATCCTGCTCACACCATCACAAAATGGGATATCAACTAGCCTCAAGTGTAACTGGTGGTCTTGTTTCAGGAAATTACATGAATTAGCATTATTTTAGCATGCTGTAAATCAGTCTTTAACATGATTACCATAATTTTAGGAATAAAGAAAAAAAAAAGGTTTTCACAGATTTTTTTTTCCTGTCTTGGATATATTTTGTTCAGTTATGGCCACAATGTTTAGACATGCAGAAAAGAATTTGATTTGTGCAACCACAAATGTAAGTGACATTTTCTTGGTAGCAAAGGTGTTGTACAGGGAGTTTTACAGAAGATGATCAGAAAGTCACAAAAAACACCTAATTCCTGGTTTTAAACCTCATTCTGTACTTGATTCCTGAGTTATAGTTGATCTATACTGAAATCCAGCTCTACTCCTTCCATTAAGATTCTCTCTGTGAAATTCTGTTCTTGGCAAATTTAATGTCTTACCTAGCCACAGCATGAGCAGCAGCAAAAGCTGCTTACAGATCTGGAATCATGAGCTTTTACTCCTCTGAATCCAAATAAACTGCTACCCTACTGCCCTGTAAATCCACACTCTCCTTGGAGCCTTCAGAGGCTCTAACCAGCCATCCTGCTGTGCCCTAATGCCAACAGACTTTGCTCCACTGGATATAAAGTGAAGAAAATATTTTGTTGTTGGAATGATTTTCACCCATAAAAGTTGCCAGTAGCAAAGCATTGCTGTACTTTGAAGAGTCCATCTCCAACTATTCACACATATACTCAAGGAAAACACCTTTGCATGTTTTGGAACATCTGACAGCTCTCATACAAATTTTTAACAAAATCTAACCTGTGTAATTGTTTTAATTAACAAAATTTACAGCTGACAAGTTTTGCCTTTGACACTTGTCTATACTGCTGTGTAATAGTGAACAAGAAGATAAAAAGATGCATTTATAAGGGGATCTTAAGGTATTTAATAAATTAAAGAACTTGTGAATATTGCCTTGTTGGACCAAACAGCAACCTTGAAATCAAAATTGCAGCACTGAACACAAGACTAAGAAAATACAGGAATTCAACCTGAGTACAGGTCTCAGAATTGCTTAACTGCTTAACATGATCACACCATTCATTCCCCAGAGGAAGCTTTGAGGTTGTGGGTTGTTGTTTGGTTTTAGGTTCATTTGGGGTTTTTTTAGTTGGAGTGAGGAGTGAGGTTTGGGGTTTTGGGGTTTTTTTCCATTTGTCCACTCTTTTCTAGTTCAAAAAATGAAACTTGCAAATGATGAGTGTGAATCAGCATTGCATGAATATGATGTTTCCTACAGGATCACTGCTTCATTTACTGGAAAACATGATACAATGCATGAGATGTGGTTTTAAAGAAAAGCTGCAGAAGTCTGATGATTTAAATCATTGAAAGCAGTTGTGAAGAGGTGGATTTTGAACTTGTTTCTAACAGAAGTCCACTGCAATGGTCTCTGATTTAATACCTAGGTTCTGGTATTATTTTTCCTCATTTTCTGGACTCAATTTGAAACCATAAGGGCTTATTTACCAATGCACTGGGTACCTGCAGCTGCAATTGAAGGTAATAGGAGTTACATTTTGATCATATTAATTTATACATAATGCTGACTGCTCTGAACGAAAAAAAAAAAAATCTTAGGCACCCAATATTGGACAGCACCATAAAAGGACACATTAATTCTTTTCCCTGTGACTCACTTTATTTCCTATAAAGCAGTAATCATTTTTAATGTCAAGATGTCATATTACAGTGAATGGCATAAGAGTGTCCATTAGGAAATTAGGCAACCTAGTTAATTAATTTTGATATTTTATGGCTTCTGGTGACTCTGATGTTTTGTTCAAAGTTGGTTTTGTATTTTCAAAAAGTCATTAAGCCCTCTGTTAACAGCTTCCCCAAACTAAAAGCTGAAGACTCACACATCCACTATAGTGTCAAAACACTAAGATTTGGTAATCTGACTGTTTTTAAAAAACCCTTTTTATAAGTAATGCAATCCTGCCATAGATCACTCTAAGCCAAGCAAGAGACTTTATGGACACAGTGGTCTTTGGTGTAAAATACCAGGTTTTGTAAAGTTTTCACTGGAAGCAAGTTCCGTATCTCCAGGAGAAGTTTGTTAAGATTGCTCTATAATTATAGCCTACATCTCAGGAGCAAAGGAATCAGAACTTGGGTCCAGCCAGTTTGAGAACATCTAAGTGAAATGTGTTCATAATGCAGATTTTTCAAATTTATATGCATGACAAATAAAGACCTTTCCTGCCCCTATATTTTGAAGATGATTATCAGCATCTCATTTTTCTGTCTGTTCATATATTGAGAGCAGTGTTAGCAGGTCATATGAAAACCTATTTCTTTTGCACCAAAAGTACAAGTAATGTTGCATGTCAACATCCAGGACAAGAAAAAATAAGCATAGAGATATATATTTTTAATAGAAAACATTTTGGAAAGAAAATAGTTTTAATCATCCTCAGGTGGGTAACACACTGCATTTTCCCCCAGCAACTAGAATTACTGTTAATCTCAATAAAACTACAGTATTTCTTTTAATCAACCAGAACACATCAAATTTAAAAATAGCTTGTAATTTATTATGCACACCTTAATACAGTTTTATAACATTTTTATTGTTTTCAAGACCTTCTAGGATTTTCCTTATCAAGATGTGACATAATTCTTCCCATAGCTCACTTGTCTCTTTATAATGCTGCAGTGCTTGATAAAGAAAATATTTTATAGTTGGAGATAAACTTACTGTGTCTGGCTTTCCATTTTAATAAAATTTACAACAGCATTTGCAGAAACTGCAGTACCAGATTTCATTGAGTGAAAAAACCACACATTAGTAGCTAAGATTTACTTTACACCTATTTTGTAATTTTTTATATAACAGTCATGGAAGCAAGCTGTCAGGACGAGGTCCATGAAGTATTTTAAGGATTGGTTTAATTTAAATTCAGGGGGTTCAGATGCAAACAGGATGGCTGCTAGCACTAAAAAGCATCAGAGTATATGGATTGCATAGATTTTTTTGTGTGTGACACTAAATGGAACACCTATCTACAAACATAGAGTCCCTCTATTTTATTAAT